AGGTCTTAAAAAGTGTATTCAACTCCCTTCTGTCAATATTCTGTGGACAGTGGTACGAAAAACGGCAGGAAAATTGTACTGTGAAGTTATTTTCAACCTGGCACTAAGCTTCTGAAAGGTATGTTGCACCCGAATGAATGTGGCTATTCAGTCGGCATTACTTGGAGGCGATCAGTTTATCATGAAAAGCTTTCGAATTGGTGAATGTAGCTGGAAACTATTACTGAAGTGGTCACCTCAAACAAGCTCAAGTTCACCTGACCCACCCAAGACGAAACATGGGGAATCACCTGCAAAGAGGTCTGCCTGAAGTAAAAACACAAGCAACCAGATGCTAAATTAGGTCTCTTTCTATTCACATCCTTTAAATAGAATCAATTCAGACACGCTCAGCGAGTCCAGTCACAACACTATATAGCTCTTTTTTAGACAGGCAGCTAAAAACAAGACCTGATCGTCCAAATTCTAGTCAAATGTTCAGGATATCGATGTGAGGATTATGGAGATCAGATTGCAACTCCATAAAAACTGAGGAATGGATACAAGTCATAAGTGCATACAGGAAACGATAAGATATCATAAAGGGAATGCGAAATTCCTAAACTACATTTGAGAAATCGTAGGCTGACCATAGTGATAGACTGGTTATCTTTTATTGAAGCCTGCAGAGAAAAATCTGTATGCTCGGAAATCGTCTAAGTATAAAACCAGGTTAATTATAAGCCTACTGAGCCGACTAATCCACTAAGATATCACTGGTGACACTGTAGAATCCAAACAACGATTTGGACTAAAGAATAGCCGTTCAGGTAGGTTAGACACGCGCCCTTGCCCGCCAAAACCAAAGCAAGTAATCGGGTAAATGACGGTTCTATAATTCATCAGCCAATCAAATCTAAATTACAATAAATAAAGTTGATAAAGGATGCAAGAAAATTACCAGTCACAACAAATGAACGCTATTCTATCCTGTCTGGATAGATCACGCACAGATTCGTTCAAAAAATAATACTCGGTTGCTTTATAACAATTCCAATTCTGGAACAGTGCTTTAATTCACAATCAAAAAAGAATAATTCCAGTCAATACAAGCAACACAATCAAAAGAGGGAACGGACCAATATGGCTGCTGACAAGGCTAAGTACCAAGTAAAACAACATAAATGCAGTTCAGGAAGAAACACGGAAACTTAGTGAAGGTGTAAAAAAAATAAAAACTATAATAAAATACAAATATTACCAACCCAAACGGAACCAAAAAGACTAACAAAATGTACAACTGAAGGAATAAATAGGAACAAACTGCAAGTGTATACACGGAGGGATTTTCACACACAAAACATTCAAAATGGATCTTACATTTACCAACTCAGCTCGATTGATGAGAAAATAAGTGATATTAAACAGTCCACACAGAACTGGACAGCCTGCTCCAGACTGTAGTCTGTTTACAACCTCGTAAACAGATCCTTCCATAAAATAACACTGGGAAATGCGACAGTCAGTTGGCAACCTAAAGGTATATAAAGGGAAAATATAGGTAATAGGAAAAACGTGTTTCTAAGTTGAACTAAAGATTGTTGTTCTAAATAAAACCTAGCTCGTCACTCAAGTCGTAGAATTACAGTCTACTTAGGTATTAGTATGTTTACATTTGCTACCGTAAAAATAGACCTAACCCAAAATTTGTAAACGCTACATGGTGTGAAAACCTAACCTATGAGATCTTACGCCATTGTCTACACTGACTCGTCCTACATAAGGATCAGCAATATAGTATTAAATATTTCTGATGAACGCAATATGGATGGGTACAGAGCAGTATACTCAGCACAATATGCAATAGGTTTTATATAGAGTGACCACGCCTGAATGGTTGAGCAATGTAAATTGAGATCATAGTTCCCGCCCTCACCATTACCGACCTCCTCCAAATGTTACACTTTAAATGTCAATCTTCTCAGCTATTATATGATTGGCTTCGATAATCTTACAGTTAGGAACCAATAACACTATAGTATCACGAATAATGAGGTGGAGATGAAAGGCATGACAATATTCATACGTGATAGTGAACATTAAACAGGTAGTCAAATGGTGATATGCATTCACTATCACAATACAACTTACTGCTCAAACAGTCCATTTGCCGAAGTCTTCCTAACTTTGTTTTATCTCGAAAGGCATCAATTAAATTATTGTAGGAACATAACACCCTTCCACAGGCACTTCCACCCAACTGGAAAAAGTACTCCAGCTGTAATCACCACAACCATACCTGTGATCTGATCAGATACTCATGGCACGGAAACCTAATACTGCGTCTGTGGATATCAAAGAGTAGGGCGTTCGTCGTCAAAACCATCATTTAAGCGATGTTATGTGATTAGGGGAAAAAGGGAAACCTTCAAACTCAGATCACCTTCTATCAAATCATCAGCTTCTGGTTACATATGTTCATGTTCGGATACTAATGTAGATAGTAGTCACAGCACAGCCGTCTTTAAAATGATCAGAAACAATATATTCCAGAAAGACGAGGATTTTCCCTACATTTGTTACATATTAGAGACCACATGGCTAAAAGAGAATATCTTAAGCATTGATGAAGATCTACAGAACGTATAACGTCTAATGAGGGTAACTAATGAGATAACGTGTAGGATATTTCCAGGAATCCATAGCGAAAACGTCTGTGGTAGACAAAGGATACAAAGATAGCCAGTAAACTGCTGCTAGAAAAATAATACCTGGAAGTGAGAATTAATTTCCTTATTTTATGTGGGGATTATGTTGTGTATCAAGATAACCACGTGCCCGCGCAGATAACAACCAGGCTGAAGTGAGGAGCAGAACACCTGTGTACAAAAAGAGCCTCGAGTAAGTGAAAAGTTTCTTTATAAAATTCAGATAAGATCTTCTACTTAACACTAAGAAACAGGAGCAGTATAAGGTATGAAATGACAAGAAGTATTTTCGGACCAAGTTGGGAGCTAAAACACAAGCCATGATTTCATTTACAGATGGAAGCTTACAAACAAACAGACCTGTAAACCTTAGTGGCTTTACGGTGACGAAATTATCAATCTAGCAGCAACAGAAGTCTCTGATTCTAATTCGGTCACGCAATGAAACCAGAAACCTACAAGCATGAAACACACTTCCACTCTGCCACCAGATAACGGTCTGGGGAATATCTATGAATCTCTTGTGTTAGAACTGGGAAAACCAAGGCTTTTGCGCTCAGTAAAATCATGAGTGCGTGAAAACTACTCATACCTATAGTCTTGCCTGTCATAACACCGATATCTGACCTATCTAGCCATCAACCGAAACTTCAGCAACTTCCAAGATAATGGACACAGACTTTTTTATTCAGTCTTCAGAAGAGAAGAAGGGAAGAAAACAACTTGTAACAGACCGGTCGCATTATGGAATTTACGTGCAATAACTAGATGAGGGTATACGTGGACGCAAACAGTGAACTTCATGAAGTCCAACACAGACCCAGAAAAAGCAGACAACAAGCGTTTAGTTGAACAATCTACTGTGATCAATGAAACCGGTCTGTGTAATATTCCTCAACATCGAGAAAGCTCTCAACACGTTACTGCAATAATTTTTATAGTAAACGTTAGTAAGACAAGTTTCACTCACCTACTCCCGTTGTTTTTCTGGGAAATCAGGTATTCTGCATCAAGGTAAATAGAGTGAATGGAAGATGAATTGTTTTGAAACAGGTCATTTCACACGAAACCATTGTAAAACCACTTCTCTTCGAAATTTTCATTCATAACTTTCTTAGTAGAAATAATCCAATGGTCCTAATCTGCTCTGAATACGTGAGGATATAGAGACATATGGAAATATAAGAGGATTCACTCGACTTCTGAAAGGTCCCGAAGATGCCACAGGTATTCGGAGTTTGACAATGCTTTAACCAGTAACACCTTCCAATATGAATCGTACCCACCAAGTGAAATCAAAAGGCAGAAGCGAGGAGGTTCGAAGATATATTTGATAGGCTATCAGTATATCGAGGATCGTTCGATCTAATCTGACTAGCGATTGCGGGAATTGATGAGCACGGCGTTCCTACTCGTGATCTGGTGCGGATGCATGACCGGGCGCCTTCAGCTAGGTGATTCCATTAAAACTAATATAATCAGCATCCAATGTTGAAAACTTACAGAGCTATTTATTTTGGGAGTTTGTTTACTCCTACAGTCCTCATAACAAATGAAAAGGAGGTTGTGGTCAGTGTGATAATATGACTCGTGAAATTGTCACATAAAAACATTTAGGAACAGAGTTACGTTTGTAGTAAACGTCCCTTCCCATTTATCTTCACAAACCACAACCTAGGACCATTACCTACAAGGTGCCTGAAGATCGGTGTGGACTACACCTAGAAATTTTTCAAAGCGAGTGTCATACTCATGAATAATAGCCCCAATTTCGAATTCTTACACAGTCCAAATAACCAGACTGACTAGAAATAGAAGAGACGAGCGGAAATACTGCTGCCCGTTAGACACTGCGAATGACCCCAGCATGTACCGAAACAACTTGAAGCAAGCACAGTGTAACCAGATGTTTACATTCACTTGTTAAAAAGACACTGGATTTTGAAAAATTGCAAACAATAGTTTGATGTATTGCGAAAGAAAAGACGAAAACGAAACAGATCAATCCACAGTAAAATAAAAAACCAAAGTGACTTCACCAATGGAACAGTCTCAAAAGAATCTGCCTGGCAGCTTTTTGTTTCTGCACCTGGCTCTTTAACTCTGTAAATAATAAGACTGATCAGACGAAACAAATTACTATTGTGCAGGTATTCTGTCGACAGGTATTCATTCAGTTTTCTGAAATGACTAGCCTCGCGGTCTGAGGTTAATAACCTGAAGGACATAAACACGACAAAGAAAGTGAACCGAAATGTCGTAACAATATATGATACTGTTGTTTTAACTTGTTTCTATTGACTACACGGAGTTCCCGCTTTATCAAAATGCAAGAAAAATGACACAACTAGAAGTAGAACCAGTTATTTTAAAAAATTATACGATTGAGAGACGTATAGGAAAAGGGGTTTGTGGCATATAATTTTCTTACTATCCACAGGCTTATGGGATAGTTTGGAAAGCGGTGAGTAAGAAAACACACAAAAAATTAGCACTCAAAAAGATATTTGATGCTTTCAGGAATCAAACAGATGCTCAGGTATAAAGCACCATCTTAACCAGTGGTTCAGAGAACTTTTCGAGAAATATCATTTTTACAGCAATTTTCCAATCACCCAAATATCATCCGTCTTTTAAATGTTATAAAAGCGGTGAACGACAAAGATATTTACTTAGTTTTTGAATACATGGGTAATTAAAACTTTCATTTTTGATGAAAAACAGAAACTGACTTAAATAACTGCATCAAAAAAGGAAATATTCTGAAAGATGTTCATAAAAGGTTCATTTTGTACCAGTTGTTACGAGCAGTTAAATATATTCATTCGGGGAATGTAATACACCGTGATTTAAAGGTAAGACATTCTCATGATATTTCTTCTGTGGGATTGCTTTATAAAGGCACCCAACACTGCTTTTGTCGCCATTTTATTTACTGACACATATCACTTCCGAACTTCACTTTTAAAACAGTAAGAATCGTTGTTATTTAAATATACTGTGAAATAGACATGTGTAGAACGTTTACTTTTAACATGGATGACCTTTATTATTATTTTTACCAACTGAACAACTATTTTCTTCTCAAATAAATGTACTGAGTTGTTAAAGTTGTCATTAGTCTCATTTTATCAAATCGGACCTTTTGATCCCACTGAATAAAATGAACTTTTTTCTTTCCCTTCTCAGGAGTGAAGATAAAAGTTTCATGTGTCTCATACAGTGTCTGATACTCTTATGTACTACTGAAACCCACTTTTGCTTCTTAACTTTGTACGAAGCTGTTTTTTATGTATTTTTGTTAAAAAAAAACTATGTGACTTGTAGTCTCGTTTTAGTACAAATGCAAATTAATTTTGTAGGAATTTTCAAAATGTTGGGATCAACTTTTTAAAACAAATACATTAAGACAGGCATAACGGAGAAATATGACATAATTTTTTTAAAAGTCATTGCTTAATGCACGGAATTTTAGAATGCAGTTTTTCATCTCACAGCTAAGGGACGGAATGCGACCAGTATAAGGTAAAAGCAAACAACATTTTGTTTTGTCTCTTTTTTTCAGCAGGTCCCACTTATATTTGAAATATAAACTCACCGTTTGGTTGCCAAGTGACTTTCTCCATATGTCAGAAATATTGGCTAAAAAACTGTAACTCTTGATTGTCATTTTTGAATAAATGGCCCATTATACCTTAGCAAATCAGTCATATTTATTTAATAAACTGATCCATGTTGGTAGGTGTAGACCACTTGGTTGGGATCCGCGAGATGATAGCAGCCGATGGTTAGAGATCTTGAAAGACATGGCTCAAAATCGTTTGCATTGGAAAAAGACTAAAATACTGTGATCCAGGCATTATCTGTTACAATCTTTACCATATGCTTAAAGTTACTTGAAATTTAGATTTGAAATAGTTCTGCCTAAATGTTTAAAAACACCAACAACAGTTTCTTTTTAAGAGGTTAAGCCAAAGCTACTTGTTTCCATTAATCTTTTTACACAAGGCACTGGTGATGCTTAATTTCTACGAATTTACTTTTATTCTCTAAAAAATAATTAAAACAAAAACTCGACTGATTAGGTAGTAGTTTATGTCTCTTATATAAACCTTAAAGCAAGTCGCTCGAACATATCTTCGCCTAATAAAGTAAAATAAACCGCCTATACAAAAGCTCTTAGTTCAGCCAGGTTATAAGACTTGACAATAAATGGTAAACTTCGATGCTTTATTACAAGCCTCAAAGCGACTCATCGTAATATATAGTCAACAAGTGAGATATAAACGTTAACTATATGATATTCAGATAATCTACCTTATATTTCATCTAGGAATGACTTTATTTCAGACAGAAGGTTGCAACTATGTTTAATTTGATTTAACTTTCTAGTTCAGAAAATACAGTTGTTTGCAACTCTTTTTTTATTATTTCTCAAACACCATAATGATTTAGTCAAGAATCATGTGAGATACATTCTTGTACATGTCTAAATGTGTAGATGAAATTCACTTGAAAGTATAATAAAACTGACTCACATGGAATTAGAACATTGTACTACTAAGTTGAGCGCAAAAAGTTTGAAAACAGCGAAGATGCTTTGCAAATCTGGTTATCGATTGACCGTGAATCCTGACTGCTGAAAAAAATAAACCTCTCAATTTATACTGATGAAACATGGAAAATATTTGTTTATTCAATTAAATCAACTTATTGCTCATACGTCCTGGTATTTAGACAGATGCCTCGAAACAACATCATTCAAGATACTTCCCGCAATAAGAACCCTGTCAAACAATTGTTGAGTTTGGTTGTTAACAGTTCCCACGCGTATCAAGCGTTGGTTAGCTCTGTTTATATTACTGTGTGATATTTGTAGATCGAAAGTGATGCCCTACATTATAACAGGCCGTTGTTAGCTTTTGCACTCCGTGGCATTACAGAAAGAGGCAATACTAAACCAATTAAATTTGAAAAATGTTTACAAAAGACTGAACACACTCACATCAGTAGATAAGATTTTTTCTTGTTATTTGGGCTTCTTCACGATGGTTATTATTAGGTACTAATAAAGTCCATATGTTTTCATACAATACAATCTAGAAGCAAATAGCTGGTAGTAAATAATTAATGATATGAGACTATAACTGATTGTTTTTACTATTTTGATATAATTAGCACTTCGTATTTCTTTAATTATTTAATTAAATTGTGCAGTTACTTCAATCCGTAACGGTTCCTAATGCTGGAGTTGTTTGCATTCAATGTAACTTCGAGCCAACCGGACCGAAATATAATACTAAACTTTAGTTTCGATTATTGTCTTTGTAGGCTGTATTACGTGTTGGTTTTACAATTAGATATTTAGGTCGTAAGAAATAAAAGGACAAGCTAATCTTACTGGTTCAACTTTCCTCTATAATTTACAAATATCTCACCACTCCAACGCTGTTTACTCGTTTTCCTCTGTCTCACATTTTATTTGCCACTCTGTGTTTGTCAGCTTTAATTTCCTGTGATGATATTAATACCTTTATTTGTATGAAGTTCTATTTTGCCATTTTTATTGACAAATCGTTTTTGATAGCAATCTTATTTCGTTTCTCACTCTTTATTATATTTATTTATATTACATTCCATTGTTTATCACTGTGTACAATTTTTTGTATGACCCTGCTAAAGATTCTATTATTTCCATTATTTTATTTATGTTTATATATGTACTGTGAAAAACTAAGGTTTGTATGTGTTTGGGTAAGTATTCCCTCTTTACAATTGAACACACCCAAAAGCCAATTTTTTAATTTAAATTTTTTCACCCAACATTCCTTTCACTGACCCAGTTATTCTTCACATTGAACGTATCATGAAACGGTTTATTCTTCATACGTTAAAAGTTATTTATTTATTTATTCTTTAAAACCTTCAATACCCTCCCACAGCAATAATATGTATATGTATAAACTAACAGTAAAAATATATTTTGTAAAGTATTTTGGACTGATGGAATCGTCGAATAATTGACATTTTCTTCCTAATATCTTTCCAACTTTGAAAAAGGAAAGTTTGTTTACCTTAGAGAAATTTATGAAACAATCTGAATATTTACATTCTTGTTCACTCAGAGTGTTGCCTTTTCCCTTGTGTATGTTAAGGCCTACTGCTGTAGAGGTTGATACTGCACTGGCTGTGTTCACCTGCATTTTTGCTGTGTATGAGACGGGGGAGTTAGGTCATCTGCGAAGTCCGGATCGTCTAGCGGCATCCAAGTTGTCTATTGTGTTTCGTGCTTTGCCTGAGATATGGAGGTTTTCGAACTCCAGTCAGCCGCCGGAATGAAGAGAAAGGGAGAAAGAAAACATCCTTATCTGACACCGGTCTACACTTAGAATGGATCTATGAGCTGACTTCCATGCACCGCTCTGCAGTGTAGTTTGTCGTATGAATTCCGTATGATGATGATGATGATATTCTCAGGTACGACATAGTGTCAAAAGAGATTCGATAAAGTCCTTATATCTATTCTGTGAATATTTTGTTATAGTCAAATAATTCGATGAATAGTGACGACCTCAACAATCACCTGTAGTGTCACGATTTAATCGGTATGCGACCAATTCATCCAGCCTCTTGATCTTAAAGCTGGTTGTCTGCTGAATCTTTTATCCAGTTCAGCAACACACTAATCAAAACCTTTCCTGGTACCTACAGTAGTGTGGTCCTCCTGTAGTTCCCACACTTACTAAGATCTTCTTTCTTTGGTATCCTGATGATTTATCTTTCGCTCCAGTCTGATGGTGATTGCTCTTCCTCCCAAATTCGTCTTAACAGAACATGAAGCATCTTAGAAGTTACCTCTGTGTCTTACGTGTGTTGTGTTATATGGTTTTGCTGCTTGCCCACATGATTTATCTGATGGTCATAATGATGCCTTCTGGTCGTTCTTCATAGTAGTTTCTTCTTATTTGATTCGACCTTGTAAGGCTTGGAGCCTGTTATTGAGAGCTATCTTGAATTCGTTGAGTTTGTCAGTATATTAAAGCAAGGCTATACTAAACGTTTGTAATGCTGCTTTTATTGAAATAGATATGATCGATCTGATTCTCCTTAGTGTGATCCAGTGAGACCCATGTAGATTTGTGTATGCCTTTATGGAAGAATATTGTGCCGCCTATAACCATTTTGTTGAATAGACATAGATTTGCAAATCTCATTATTCTCGTCTCTTTCTCCTAGTCCATGTCATCCCATGATATCTTCATATCCGGTGTTTTCCATTCCGACTTTGGCGTTTAGATCTCCCACCAGGGTGATTAGATCCTTTCCTGAGCACTTCGCCATGATCGACTGAAGCCTCGTAAAACGGATCTTTATCGTCGTCGCTGCTATCATTTGTGGGTGCATAACACTGGATAACATTCATTGTGATCCCCTCCTTTGTTTTGAATAGTGCCTTGATGATCCTGGAATGATGATATTCCCATCCTATGAGTGCTTTACGTGCTTCTTTGGACAGCACCAGAGCAACTCCGTGTGTGGAGCATTTTCTTCTTGGTGACCAGAGTACAATAACACTTCTCTCAAAGTTAATCTTTTCTATCCAGCATGGGTCCAATGGGTTTCACTTATTCCGAGAACCGCCAAGTTGTATCTCTTCATTTCTGTGGCTGTTTGATTGGTCCTCCCGGTCTCCAAGATTGTCCGGACATCCCATGTATCTATATTAATTGTTGCTTGGTCGTTAGGAGAGATATCGGTCTCGTGAATCCAGAGGAATATCGGCTTTCACCACGAGACGTCATAATTCTCCTAAATGAAGATTCTCCAACTGCCAGGATAGACTTCAAATGGTTTGAATTATTTTTTCTGGTTAGGGTGTTTTAGTAACGTTGTTTTCTATGGAGCGAAGTGGCTGACCCCATGCCAGACCCTCCTACTTTATTCGGGCTTGGGACCTGCATTAACTGTAGAATGGCTATGGGGTGAGTTAAATAATCTTCATAATAGTCTGAATCTGTAAAATGTGATCATGATATTCCACTTTCTCTTCCAAATTAGGTAGAATGAGCTATAAAGCTGTAGCTGGATTCGCATACTCACAAATTTAAGTGTTCAATTATACGATAGGAAAAGTGTGAGTCTTTATGGTTGGGCGACATTCTAGTTTCTGACTGGATAGCGTAAGAGTATATTTGGGAAAAAGGATACGAGTAACTTTACCAGTTCATTATCTGTAATACCAGATGGAATTTTGGTCCGATGACGTAATTCATGACAAATAAAGAAAGTATAGATAGGAAATGATTTAGGAGGTCTAATTTCCCCACACATCTTTAAGCCAGATAAATTGTGACACCTGTTAAAATTAAACAAAGGGGACGTAGAAACGAAAACTGTAATAAGTAAAACAAATATATAACAACCGGGAAATTTCGCGAATTGTCAAAAATGGTTCCCATTGTAAATCAGTCTTACTCGGGAAACTATAAGTGAAAACTAAATTATCATCGGGAAAGTATCCATCTATTTTCTCTTACTCTTTCGCAAGATATGTTTATTGCCCCCAAAGAAGTTACTTCTAAATCTGGGGTATAAAACTCGATCCATTAATTAAGATTATTTAACAAAATCAGTTTATGATACAGAACTACTTATTATCTAGCGTTTTTTCGATCATCTAACACTTTAACTGTTTATGACTATTTTAATACTATTTCTTGTCGCAAAATGAAATATCTACTTATACCCATTAATGTAATTATATAATTTTACTTATAAGTTCTTTTAAAAAGATTTGCTCGTAACTGCACAGTATAAGTTATGTTGTGGTTATATTATGTTAAAGATTTTCAAATATTAAACAAAATTATAAATGCCAGTTTGTTCATCAGAGTGGGAAGATATATCTTTTTCCCTAAAACTGCTCATCCATTTGATTTAATTATATCTTAGCTTTCAGACCAGATTTTATGGATATTCAGTTTTCATAGTGTACCACCGTTATAGTTATCGTCTAAATTTTTAGATCAGCGAGGTTTAATTTATTTAAATTGATTTTAAGTTACAGAAACCTGTTTGTATCTTAGTTTTAGCTGTCATACTATTATCTAATGATACTTTTACATCTAGTCTATCATAAATTTTACTATTTTAAAGGAAAATTATGAGATGCACTCAAACTAAAAGAACGATCAACAGTAGTATTTCAGTATTTAGTTTTGCGTAAACCTATGCAAGTGATGATTTGAGTGATCCTCAACCTCATTTGACTGATAAATGAAGTTGTTGATAATAAGGAATTTATTTTATATCTAATTCTGAATTATGTATATTAAATTTTCTATTCTTACTTAATTCTTGCTCTCTGGTGCAATTTTCTTGTTTCCATTATAAAAGCGACTTTCTGTTTTATTCGGAAACGAATGTCTAAACCTGAACTATTGACATATGATATCATTTTCTCACTTCTTTTCCTAGTGGGACGTTTCGAATATACCATTTTATTCTATTTTTATTTAAATAACTAAAAGTAAATTAGGATATCACAATGAAGTACTCAAGTTTTAAACATTTTAGAACAAATTTTATTGACTAAATAATTTCCAAAAATAAATTATTCATCATATATTTTATCATTATGTGTAATAAAATAAAACGTTCTAACACTGACTGATCACCATCTGTTGAGGATATTCCATTAATCAAATTTTGACAAGTAGTTTGTGGACATTTTTCTGAGTTGAAGATAAAACAAGTAGTCAGAACTCTGTGGGTATCCTGTTATTTTCAGTCAGTGATAAGATTTATCCTGATACTGCTTATTTTATTTTATTTTTCGTTTACATTTATAGCCATCTAATGTTCTGTTAAACTCAGACTGTTTGGTGAAACTATGTGATTTCGGCTTGACACGTTCATTGACAAATACTCTAGAAAATCGTACAACATCTATGGAATCATTTATAGATGGAGATGATGATTATGACAATCCTGTGTTAACCGAATATGTAGCTACGAGATGGTATCGGGCACCAGAAATTCTGCTAGCTTCAAATCGTTATACAAAATATGTAGATATATGGAGCTTAGGGTGCATATTGGGCGAAATGTTACTTGGTAAAGCATTATTTCCCGGTACATCGACAATCAATCAAATTGAGAGAATCATATCGGTTATGGAAAGACCGACAATACAAGGTTAGTCCTTCAATATCAGCTTTCCAAACTAAAATTTGATTAGGTTAATATGAATGTAAAATAACTACTTTTTAATTGGACGTCATAAATTAGTAAGAGAAAATAGATTATCCAGATATTTATTCAAGAGAAACTTTTCATCAAAACGTATTTTCCATTTGTGTTCATCGTCAAATTATATATCAGTTTGTGAGAAACATACTTTCACCATCAAAGTTTAAACGCGTTTAGAATAGAATATTCTAGTAGTTATATCTCCAAATTTAGCTGGTATTCAGTTTAAAATTATGAGAACACAACCCTTGTCACTAGCGATGTTTTTAATAGCGGATCGATAGTCACATAGATGTGTTAAACGATATATCGTTTTGAATGGTTCCAGATCTTAACTACACAGTGGAGAAATCGAGCGAGATCCCATGCGAAAACAGATATATCTTAAACAAATTTTTTTAGAAGCCAGAAAAAGCGAGGGTGGAGCTGTGCTGATTCTATGGTTTTCATGCAAGTTCATCAAAGCACTCCCCCCAATGGTCCCACTAACTATTATATCACGGTTAAAACGCTTGCCGTTTTTTTGAAAACCAAAACCAACTTTTAATAATTATACAATCTATCTTTGACCACCCTCAGGCTATTCTCAGTTTCCATTTACTTCGGTCAAAATTGCATAGTGAGTTAAATAATGGGTGATCATATGCCTTAAAACCTTGAGTGAAGATAAAGAATTTTGGCTTATGGTTTGTAATTTATGTCACCATATTTGTTGTTTATTAATTATCTTTATCAGTTAATGTACACAATTCTTGTTTCAAAATACAGTAATTCTACGTGACATACTCTCCTAGAGTCTGAACACTGAATATTATTCATTTTAAGAATTTCTCAATTTTCTAGTCAAACGCATGAAAGTCTGCTTTAATGAGTCCCTATGAGATCAGAAATCTGTTGGAATTAAATAAGATTCTTTTATTAAGGATATCATTTTATTCGCATAGAAAAATCAATTCTTTTGGTTAATTTTATATATAATAATTTACATGTATCAAATACCAGTCAATCTACTTTTAATCACTTACTATTTCAAAGCACACCTTGGAATAAGTAAGAGATATTTGCTCCAAGATGTAGAAACTCATTCTGAGCACTAATTCCTTTACTAAATGTCAATTATAAGATGAACGAAATACAGTCTCTTTAGTAAAACGTAGGGTGATGAGACACATAAATCTCAATGCTACAAGACGAAAGTATTTATGTATTGCAAAGTTGAAATTTGCTGATCCCTAATTCCCAGTAAAGTAGATTATCAGTAACCGTTAAATGTGATAAGTTTTTAAGTTTGGTTTCATAAGGGATAACTAGTGTACCAAATTAGTACTAGATGACTACCAATCGCCTTGTGGAATCCAACAATCCTGAGATAGGTACTCACAAGATACATTGGAAGATGGTTCCACGATATTATAGCTAAACTGAGGCTAAATATATAACTCACAAAATGCTGGCTAGGAAGTATAGAGGTTAAGCACTCGTACGAGAAACTGAACGTCCTGGGCTCGACCCCTGATATTGGGGTCACGGTTACACAGCTAAGTTGTTCCTTATCAGGACGAAACAGCTATCCAACCCATTTTGGATAATAATGGTTATTCAACTAAGATCATCCCGTAATATTAATTATAAAATCCTTGAGCTCTCAAAGTTTACGATGAAATCTGTTTTTAAATCAAATATTTTCCCAAAAATCTGATAGCTAAATAATTAGAATTTACGAATATATTGAATACTTCTAATTGATAAACCCTCAAAAAATGAACATAATAAGTAAACGAAGAAAGTCACCAACAATAAAAACAAAATTCAAGGTTTGTTTCAAATGAACCTAAAGACAACTGAATTGAAATATCAAAAATGCTGTATAGACAAAAAAATGAAACAAAGAAAGTGTTTAACCCTCGAATATTTCTATGAAGGTAAGTGACTCAATGTATTATTGAAGAGATCCTCTCCGACTGCTTAGAAAAAAGAATTATACAACTCACTACTTTATGTCTATCAGTATCTACCGATATATATATATATATATATATATATATATATATATATATATATATATATATATATATATATATATATATATATATATATATATATATATTCTTACGCTCAGTATCACCAGAATGAGAGTGGGGTTGAACAGGGTGAGAAACTATGGAGTTGAAATAATAATATCAGTGGCATCCTAAACCAAATTCTAAGCTAGTCAGCTAGTGGAAAATGATAAATAAATGAATCTGATCCACTGCTACGGATTATGGATCAAGTCATTACACGAATCTGTCATAAAATAAATGAGTTCATAGAATGACGGTTTGATTTAATTTAGTCACTCCTACTTTTTCCTCAAACTATATTATGTTAGTCGGCCCAGTACAGTGAGTTTACAATATCTGAGCTGAAAAAAAATTACATCGTCATTCGTTGACATGTTATTTCTATTTAGTATTCTACACCTAACTTCTGTAACACAGATTCAGTGGTTCCATTGTATGCAAACTACACTTCGAAAACTTCTATAGTCAAACGGATACTTGGAAAGGATAAATAATAAGACTAAGTCGTTGATACTTTTGACATAATTCATGGAAATAGAATACTGTCTTATGAAAATGCTTTAATAACGTTGAGCATTATTTTTACAACCACTCGTAAAATAGTAAATAAAATACACAGAATCATTACAACTTAAATTTATGGAAATCATAACAATGAAAGAAAGAAATTCTATCACGGAAACTCAATAAATTAGTTAGGATAAAGGCGTTGTTTAGCTTTACAAATGTTCTAAATTTATATAAGTAATGTGACCACTTATCTCTCATTTTTAGCTCAAAAGAAAAATACCTAACCCTTAACACCATGGTAACAAACTTTCGTTTTAGTCATTATGTCGATTAATTTGTTTGTATATTTTAGTCACAGATTGAAATGAACTAAAAATAAAATCGTTGATGGGTTTTAGTTGAGATTAGTTCAATATGTTGTGGATGAGACTTATCACAGAGACAACTCAGTTGAGTACCACTGATAACCAGGGTAGATTGGACTGGTTTTTTTGTCCTACCAGCTGACAGCTTGACTTTTGGGACACTGGATTACTAACCAGTGGTATCGAATCTTAACTTTAAATTTGGTTACTCAATGATGAGTAGTACCATTCTAGAACAAAACTTATGGCTAGTATTCCATCGTTTTTACTGAATCGACGTTAATCTGTGACAAATATCACCCATAAAAACCAGATTGTCAATTGTTTTCTTATTCTCACAAGCTTTTTGAAAATCACTGTTTAAGAATTCCCATCACATTAAAACACTGACATATGAACGAAGAACATTCTTTTTTAATGAATTGTCTTCAAGTTTTAATGTTATAAATTCAAGTTAAGGATCCCCAAAGTAATTGCGTTTAACTCAAATACATTGTTTATAATCAAACCATGTGAATTTAAGATTATTTCTTAAAATGAACCAAAATTTTTAATGTCCAAATGACTAATATGCAGTGATAACTTGTATAAGCTTATACGGTAAATGAAAATGTGGAATTAATGATTATCAGTATAAATATGGGTAACATAGGATGAGATAAATAATAATATAATTACAATTCAGATCGAATATTTGGTAGAAGACTATATAATGTATGAAGTTATAGGAATTCAGTAAGAAATAATAAAGTGAGGTAAGAGATAACTAAATTAATAGTTGAAATCATGGTTAAGCGCTCGCGCGCGAGACCGATAGGTCCTGGGTTCGAATCCTGCGGGGGGGGCGGGATCGTGGATGCGCACTGCTGAGGAATCCCATACTAGAACGAGACGGCCTTCCAGTGCCTCCAGGTTTTCCATGGTGGTCTAGCTTCAATTGACTCATGATTTCAACTGTTGAAATTACTAAAATCTCCACACAACCCCTTCTGATAATAAATAAATAAATCATGTGTTCAAAAGATTGATAGGGATGTTGAACCAGTAGTAAGATATGTGAATAAAAAAATAAGACACTAGCACCGTTGTATACCAGCTCGGTCTAGAAGCGAAGTTTTACAGTGTCCAGGGTCGTGGACGCGCACTATTAACGAGTCTCCCACTAGGACAGAATGGCCGTCTATTGTTTCCAGGTTTCGAGTGGTGGTCTAGCTTAGATCACTTCATAACTAAAACTATGAAGAGACAAAACTAAGAAAGGCCTTGCGTAAATTGGTCAAATTAGGTCATTCTGTAATTAATATTAGTTTTGATTCATTGGCCCTGGTGTTGGCCAAGGTAAGAGAAGGGGCTAAATATGTTTCATGTGCACGCATAGTTCTTGTTTTATAATTTAAATGGCTATCACCTCCACCGTTTGAAGGACTTTAATTAAGATAGACGTTGACAGGAAATTACTAATGGAATAAATTATTGAGAATGATTGACTTACGCTGGCACCATGACCAGTTTGCACTAAATGGTCTGGTATTAAACCGCATACTGACTTCACTACATCTTTGCTTAGCCACCTTTGGAGGTGTTCACGAATACAAAAAAGTAAATTTCTGGAACTTTGGCCAAAATAAATTATCCACAGGGGTAGTCGAACTGATAAATACATAACGAGTTGGGCATCCTAATTAATTCATCTTTTAGCCTCAGTGTCTCCATTAGGAGCGTAAAAAAGATTATCCGAATTTTCCGGTGCTGAATGTTCCCTAGATAGTTCTATGTAATCTCTAGATTAGTGTTTCACTGGCTGCATTACCTCTGAACCATAGGCGAATGAATGGAGATTTCTTATTTGGTGTTTGTTGCTCTCCTATTCTAGCCCGGGCATATATTTATTTATAAAGTCCGCACGGTATCCATTTTCCCTAAGGGCGTTTAGTTTTTATCCAACTATATCCGTATAACATATGGTATGTATTCTATAACTGAGTTTTTATCAGATTTCTTTTGTGTTGTAGAAATACGGGGCTAATGATGCATGTGTGATACCTCGTTCAGGTACTTCACCTGTCTAAATTCCTTTTTATTAACCCATAAACACTCTCCTCTAGTAGAAAATCCTCAAAGGTTATCCTACCTCCAATCTCTTTTTTAGATGTAAACTTAATAGGTAGGTGTACTCCATTAAATTGCCTCAGAACCTCAAGCTGTCATGTTCTTTCAGTGCTGATGATGAAAGTATCATCCATACATCAACAGTATTATTATTCCTTACTGAATTCATATAACTTCATACATTATATAGTCTTCTACCAAACATTCGATCTGAATTGTATTTATATTATTATTTATCTCATCCTATGTTACCCATATTTATTCTGATAATCATTAATTCCACATTTTCATTAACCGTATAAGCTTGTTCAAGTTAACATTATATGTTAGTCATTCTAATATTAACAATCCCACTCCTATTGTTTCAAGAATTTTGTCAGTACTTTTGACTAACGCTTTGTATCTTAATTCCGATTTCAAAACCTGATAATTTAGGGGATATTATCCACTTTCTATCCAGTTAGTAATGATCTAACTAAGTAAAACTTGTTGAAGTAAAGATAATTAAATACGTTTATGTAATCTTTCACAACCCTTGTATAAATTGTATCAATAGTCATAATATAATAGACAATGTGGTCAACGTCTTTACTTACATATTATTGAAGATTGGAAAAAATTGTATCGGCTTCAAAACTCGAAGTAATGACCAGTTCGCAAACGTTTGACAAGAACAATTTGTTTAATTTGATATTATATGTCTAAAACCAGTTGAAATAAATCACTTGACTAAAGGTTTTCTACTGTTGATATAAATTACTGAAGTTTTCCATAAACTGATTTCACAGCTTACTCGTTGTTGGACCAGATTCTGTAGAACATTTAGTCATCGAACGACAATTCAGATGGGAACTTGGTGTTTAATCTTGGTGGAGTCCCACCTATTACAAAATGCTACATCAACAATAAATGTTAATCTAGGAAACTTTCTTGAATCACATCGTAGTAACCAATATTATGGTGTACGACTCACAGTGGTACTCACATTCTTTCCATGAAAACTATAATATAATTTTAAGATGCAATTCTACGATGGACTGTTCATGACACATTCGTAGTCGATGAGTTCTCAGATTGTGGTTAGATGTTTCCAGTTCTTCGAAGCAGAATTATCTCTTCATAAGCTTTCCCTTAAACCATGAGATTAAAATTACTTTGTACCTTTCTTTCTACGAACTTATCCTTTCTCCCTGTATCATATCCTTATATGGAATGTTCTTTTACTACCATTGAAGTAATGCTTCTATGAATATGGTGTTCATCTTGTTGTGCTAATGAGGTATGGCAACTTATAGCGATGCGTTTATTTGCCTGGTCCTACGTTGTAGCTGACTGACTAACTGAGTGAAGTCTCAAGTAAATCTTGTCGATTATCGGTTAACTTTGATTAAATAGAAGGTGACCAATAGTAGGAATGAGAGAGCACGTTACTGTTCACCGAAAAGTTGCTAACATAATTTATTTATCAACATTCAATTTATAATTGGAATTGAGATATCCTGTTCTGATAAAATCTTATCCAAATGATGTAATTCAAGTATCTCAGTAAAACAATGAGTAAGTGTACGTCATCTAGTGCAACAAATAAAAGAATTTGAGAAAATCAACATTTATGAATGTGCAACTACTCATATGACGGACTACAGTGCAAGGTCGTGCATGGAGGACAGCTGACAGATGCATTCCAAGTAAGAACCGGAGTCAGACAAGGCTGTCTACTCTCTCCCTTCCTCCTTCTTCTCGTGGTCGACTGGATTATGAAGACCTCGACATTTGAGGGAAAACACGGAATACAATGGACAGCTCAGAACCAATTAGACGATTTGGACTTCTCAGATGACATTGCCCTCCTATAGCATACACACGAACAAATGCAGGCAAAGACAGCCAGTGTAGCAGCAGTCTCTGCATCAGTAGGCCTCATCATACACAAGGAGAAAATCAAGGTTCTCATATTCAAAACGAAGAACAGCAGTCCAATCTCTCTTGATGGCGAAACTCTGGAAGATATAGAATCCTTCACATATCTGGGAAGCATCATCGATGAACAAGGAGGTTCAGATGCAGACATAAGGGCGGGGATTGGCAAATCAAGGACAGCATTCCTACAGTTGAAGAACATATGGAACTCAAAACAACTTTCAACCAATATCAAAGTGAGGATCTTCAATACAAATGTCAAGACAGTTCTATGGTACGGGGCTGAAACTTGGAGAAATACTACAACCATCATCAAAAAGGTACAAGTATTTACAAATAGTTGTCTACGCAAGATACTCAACATCCATTGGCCGGATACCATCAGCAACAGCCTTTTGTGTGAGAGAACAAACCAGCTTCCAGCTGAAGAGGAAATTAGGAAAAGAGGATGGAAATGGATAGGACATACACTACGCAAATCGTCAAACTGCATCACGAGACAAGCCCTAACTTGGAATCCTGAAGGAAGGCGGAAAAGAGAAAAGCCAAAGAATACATTATGTCGGAAAATAGAAGCAGATATGAAAAGGATGAATAACAACTGGAAAGAACTAGAAAGGATTTTCCAGGACAGGGTTGGATGGCGAATGCTGGTGAGTGGCCTATGTTCCTTCACGAGGAGTAACAGGCGTAAGTAGGTAAGTAAGTAAGTAAGTAAGTAAGTAAGTAAGTAAGTAAGTAAGTAAGTAAGTAAGTAAGTAAGTAAGTAAGTAAGTAAGTAAGTAAGTAAGTAAGTAAGTAAGTAAGTAAGTAAGTAAGTAAGTAAGTAAGTAAGTAAGTAAGTAAGTAAGTAAGTAAGTAAGTAAGTAAGTAAGTAAGTAAGTAAGTAAGTAAGTAAGTAAGTAAGTAAGTAAGTAAGTAAGTAAGTAAGTAAGTAAGTAAGTAAGTAAGTAAGTAAGTAAGTAAGTAAGTAAGTAAGTAAGTAAGTAAGTAAGTAAGTAAGTAAGTAAGTAAGTAAGTAAGTAAGTAAGTAAGTAAGTAAGTAAGTAAGTAAGTAAGTAAGTAAGTAAGTAAGTAAGTAAGTAAGTAAGTAAGTAAGTAAGTAAGTAAGTAAGTAAGTAAGTAAGTAAGTAAGTAAGTAGTAAGTAAGTAAGTAAGTAAGTAAGTAAGTAAGTAAGTAAGTAAGTAAGTAAGTAAGTAAGTAAGTAAGTAAGTAAGTAAGTAAGTAAGTAAGTAAGTAAGTAAGTAAGTAAGTAAGTAAGTAAGTAAGTAAGTAAGTAAGTAAGTAAGTAAGTAAGTAAGTAAGTAGTAAGTAAGTAAGTAAGTAAGTAAGTAAGTAAGTAAGTAAGTAAGTAAGTAAGTAAGTAAGTAAGTAAGTAAGTAAGTAAGTAAGTAAGTAAGTAAGTAAGTAAGTAAGTAAGTAAGTAAGTAAGTAAGTAAGTAAGTAAGTAAGTAAGTAAGTAAGTAAGTAAGTAAGTAAGTAAGTAAGTAAGTAAGTAAGTAAGTAAGTAAGTAAGTAAGTAAGTAAGTAAGTAAGTAAGTAAGTAAGTAAGTAAGTAAGTAAGTAAGTAAGTAAGTAAGTAAGTAAGTAAGTAAGTAAGTAAGTAAGTAGTAAGTAAGTAAGTAAGTAAGTAAGTAAGTAAGTAAGTAAGTAAGTAAGTGTAGAGTTAAGTACGTAAGTGTGGAAGTAAGTAAGTAAGTAAGTAAGTAAGTAAGTAAGTAAGTAAGTAAGTAAGTAAGTAAGTAAGTAAGTAAGTAAGTAAGTAAGTAAGTAAGTAAGTAAGTAAGTAAGTAAGTAAGTAAGTAAGTAAGTAAGTAAGTAAGTAAGTAAGTAAGTAAGTAAGTAAGTAGGTAAGAAAGTAAGTAGTAAGTAAGTAAGTAAGTAAGTAAGTAAGTAAGTAAAGTAAGTAAGTAAGTAAGTAAGTAGTAAGTAAGTAAGTAAGTAAGTAAGTAAGTAAGTAAGTAAGTAAGTAAGTAAGTAAGGAAGTAAGTAAGTAAGTAAGTAAGTAAGTAAGTAAGTAAGTAAGTAAGTAAGTAAGTAAGTAAGTAAGTAAGTAAGTAAGTAAGTAAGTAAGTAAGTAAGTAAGTAAGTAAGTAAGTAAGTAAGTAAGTAAGTAAGTAAGTAAGTAAGTAATAAGTAAGTAAGTAAGTAGTAAGTAAGTAAGTAAGTAAGTAAGTAAGTAAGTAAGTAAGTAAGTAAGTAAGTAAGTAAGTAAGTAAGTAAGTAAGTAAGTAAGTAAGTAATGTTCCACTGGTAATTAAAATGAACAAATTTCTTCGTGAAACATCGAGATATACCAGTGATTATTTCATAGTTGGAAGAATATTTAGTGTATTTTGGCAAATAACTCGTAACATATTTTCCAATTAATGTTATCGATAGTATCAAAGGGAGAGAGAAATAATTCTGATATATTTTTAACCATATTGCCTGTAGTTGGCTTGCATTTTTTCTAATATATGACCATTATTATTATACTTAATTGGTTTTTGCTTTTATGTGATACGTTAAGTAAGTAGTTATCTCTACTCTTTTATTTTACAGACATTGAATGCCTTCATTCAGACTACGGTAGATCAGTGTTGGATAAAGCTTTACAGAAGTAAGCTAATAATAGCATAGTGTCACTAAGTTGAATAAGATATCATTTTCCTTCCAAAAATTATCATTGTAAACTAGTTATATTCTTTATTGATTCAGTTTAACGGAAATTTTCCGAGCAGTCACTATATTATGATATTCTGACAAATATTCGCAGCTCATGGTATAGATGTTTTTCTCATCTTCTTTGAGGTAATTTTTTCATAACCCCTAAGTATTTTTAATGTACCACTGATAAATTCAAGTACTTGAAATATCTTTCAATGGAGTATGATTTTTCATCGTCAAATAAAACCCAAAGAATTGCTTTTAAAAACGATTCTTCGCAAAAATACGGTTGTGTACCAAGCTATTGATGACAACTATGATGAACAATAATAGATGATTAATGTCGACAAACAAGTGTTGTTCTTGAAGTTATAACTTAGTGGTGTTAAATTAAATGTTTTTAACAATGAGCTACAAATTTACCGCAAAAATATAACAGACTGATTTTTTTCTCTATCTTAAGTAATTCGCTTTGGAAAGTTACAGGTTTTATAGAGATAAAACGTTTTAAATTGCTTGTCAATAGCCGAAAAAGCCATTGATAAAAAGTGTTTATTAATTTAGTTCACTTGGTATTGTTTTACTTAAACCTTCCCATTAATGGTTATGACTGAAATTGATCAGTCTTTTATTGGTATATGTGCATACTGTGCGTATTTCCTCGATCTTGCCTTAATTTACAAGCATTATAAGTAAAGGTGGATAGTGGCTAGTAGTGGAATCCAGGACGCGCATTTCGTCCTATTTGGGACTCGTCAGCTGGATGTACCTGCATCTGAGTTGATGTTCACTCTGGGACTCGAACCCAGTACCGTTCGCTTCAAACGTCATCGCGTTATCCACGTAGCTACTGAGTCCTGATAGTCACTCGCTCGTGCATCCTGGATTCCGCTGCTAACCACTATCCATCTTTGCTTATAATGTTTATTAGTTTTTTTTGAAAATGTAATCAATCAGGTATTAACTGTTTATTCTAACTTTAACTGTTCTCTATTGAATATTGAGTGTAAATGCTATTGAACTGTCTTTCGAACATATGGTTTGTAATAACTTGATTCTCGTTGTGAAGTATTATTAGACCTGTATATTAACGAAATTACGATATTTATGCAACAGGAAAGTTTGGTAACACAAGGGCAAAATGAGAGGTTTCTTAAGACAAGGGATTAATGATAAAAGTTAGACGTGTTTAAGGGAAGCTTTCGGCACCATCAGTAATAATACATAATACATAATAAATGTAAATTGATTATTATTATTTGTTTACAATTTTTCTCTTGCTTTGTTTTCTTTTATAGACCATATCGTCGCTTACGTACGTTATTTTCAAATAATACAGAAGAACAAGCTTTAAATTTACTTGAAAATATGATTCAGTTGAATCCAGAGAAACGCTTCACTGTTGAACAAGCATTAAATCATAGTTACGTGGAAAAGTAAGTATCAGGCATTGATTAATTCTCTTGACTACTTCATCTAATTGATATTCTTTAAATATTTACTATATCTCTGTTTCTTAATAGGTTTGAAAGTTCCAGATCTGACTTTGTAATATAGCCCCCAAATGTTTCAGACTATGGGTTATATATTTTTTAAAATTCATCCATGTAATTTGGAAGGATTCAAAGTTTAGATTGATTTATTTCATTTGACTATAGTGAAAACCAACTAAGATAAAACATTTGTTTGGTACTACCTAATTTTAAGTGGTTTTCCAGTAGTAAAAATTATAAAATATTAATGTACAAATTAGATGATTCAATGTTCATTTGTTTCATGCTCTCTCTCTCTCTCTCCATACATATGTTTACACATATGCAACTTCATCAAACAGCTTTCGTGATCCTTCATCTGAAATCGTATTGAAACATCCAGTTACCCCAATTCTAAGAGATGACAAACAATTAAGCGTATCAGATTATCGTCAAAAATTATATGAGGTAATTCAAACAACGATTATTCTTTATCTTTATTCTTTAATCATAATTAACATGGAGTTTTTAATTTATTGGATCGAAAATTTGTTGTACATTTTACAGTACTCAGAAATACTTATGAGTAACTGTTTTCTGTTTAAATTACCATCTGTAGTTGTCACAAAATAATCACTTATCAAAATTGTGTCAAATGAAGGAAAAAACTGTGTACTTGGGTGTTTAAACCGAGAATTTGAGCTAATTGTGTCCTAATCAACGCTTTAGAGGTTTTTATAGTAAGCATGGAATTTCAGTATTATCTAGTTGATTTCGAAATGGTATTATTACTAAAAAGCTCCAGATTTGTTTGTGAAGACATACTACCAATGGTAAAATAATCATTATGCGGAAAATAAAAGATATTTCCCGCTATAAATATCGTTACAGTGGTGCTTGAAGGCTAAACGACATAAGTGAATCCAGTTGAAATGAATTTAATCTACTCAGTTACAGTTATTTTACATTCAGACCTAAAACAACAATTTGTCAATTATTCAAATCGAATCGCATTATCTAGACTTCTCTTAATTGTTTCCTTACCTTAAGGTATTTTTCTTCTCGTTTATTATCACAAATGCTATCAATGTTTATCGATGTATTTTTATTTGAGAATATTTGGTTATTTATAAACGACGTGAAAGAAATTTCTAATAACGAGTCTTGAGGCAATCAGAATTAACATTATATTTACAACCTTCTGATCCTTGTTTACATTTCTACTGATTTCATTTCTAATAGCTGTAATTTTTATTGGGCATAACCAACTAATGAATGAATTCGGTAAATTGCCCATTAGAAAATTTAGTAATCCGAACGACGATAAATCAGTCATGTGTTATGTTATGTGTTAAGATTAGTAATCAGTTTTATTTTTCAAATACGATTCTATTTTCTGTAGATTATAGTGGAAAAGAAAGCTCAACATAAAATGCGAAAAATGCTGCGTTCAGTTGAACTGAATGAAAACAAAACAACTGGAAATTCATTGGTTCGTCCGTTTTTTGGTTCCGAATGTTTTCTCAAGCGAGTTGCCTTTCTATTCTTACAATTAGCTCAGTGGTCTGGAGGTTAGGCGTTCTTGCGTAAGACCGAAGGTCCTGAGTCAGAATCCTGCGAACGGGATCGTGGATGCGCACTGCTGAGGAGTCCCATACTAGGACGAAACGGCCATCCAGTGCTTCCAGGTTTTCCATGGTGATCTCATGAAAATTTTTAGTTAATAATACTGTGAGCATGTTATATAATCCTTAAAGACGGTAATAAAAGCGTTCTCTTAAATACTGGATTTGATCATTAGAAGTACTGACATTTAATTAATATCAGCAGTTAGTTTTAATAGAGGAACGAAGAACTTGAAGAACGAGCTATTTTAAAATTTATACAGATAAAGCCTAATAAACTATGGACCAGATCGCTAATACTTCAAACAGATAATAGCTTATAATTGCTAAATATTTTCTAGTTACATAATTTCTAACTCATCAATAGTGCCTGTCCAATCCGGAACATAACAGCTATTCACTTTTATTTTATTTTCAATGGTTTTCTTCGGTCTAATCAACGAAAAACATATTCACTTGATGAAGATCTCACCAGAAAATACCTTTGCAAATTTTATGGTACGATTAGCAGAGATGAATAGGCAATCACCTGTATAGTAATTCTAGTTCTTTAAAAATGACTCATCCATTTATTTTGTTTATATAAACTTGAATTGTTTTATGGAAATAACCAGAAAACTGAGTCTAAATTCCCTATAAATAATTACTCAAGGTTGGAAAACATTAAAATTATAAGAACAACATTATTGTCATGTTATATTTTATTTTGTACATGATACTTTGCAAATTTTCAAATAATCTGATATTCTTCACTCTCTGGTTAGGCTTCAAAGAAAGAATTGAATCATGAAAATACTTCTGAAAACAAATCCAAAACCGATCTGATTAATCAAAATATCAATAGAGTTGGTTGTCACGATCCAAAACTAAGTGAGTTTTGTTTTTTAAAAAAAAACAGGATTAGAAACTATTTTGCTGGAATTAAATTTAAATTTAATTGATTTATATTAATTGTTTCTGAATTTAAACTTAGTAAGAGATACTGAAATCTAAACTTTGTAAATTTTTGGCAAGCTGTATTGGTACGCTGTTAACCCGATGGTAAATCTTGGAAATCACAAGACAGGGATTTCATTTGTTTGATTAATCAGTCAGAAATATTATAGCTGAGCCTTTTACCTATCAATCAACTTTACTGTAAGGGCATAATATATACAGAGATTGTTTATCGTAAATTTCTTCTGAAATTTATAGTATACCGTCATTAGTCCTCCTATTTCAAACATACTAAGCCGTTATCAGCATGAAAACTGGTAGAAATGCTGGCGAATACCTTACTCAATTTATTCACTAAACAGTGGGTTATTAAAATTACTTTTATAGTAAATGAACTATATGCTATGTGATTTGAAAACTTTCTACATCTCAAAGATTGTTTGGCCAAATACCTTTATATGAAGAACATGAATTGGAGCATTGGTGTATCGATCTGAAATGAACTTCGAAAGCCACAACCTAAAAGTAAGAGGTTCGTTCGATCAAGCTGACATAGTATTTTACATAATGATACATACAACCATATAAATGTCTCATGTAATTACACTCAGAACAGCACAACAAATAAAAATAATATTTTGCAATTGAGGTGTGGATTAAGTCTATTCCTTTTTCTTAGTAATATACGCATTTGCAAGGACCAATAATTTTTGAAACTCAAGAACAGTAAAGCGATTAAAACCAGAAATGCTTCAAGTTTGTTTCCTAATGTATTGAGCAAATGTTCATCTTTCACCATACCTGAAGATGTAGTCATATTCCTGATTCCTTATACAGACTTATCTAACCCAAAGGTGGAATTTATGCCGATTAATTGATACCTGACTTTGAACGGAGTCTTTAACAAATATTACGTCGTATTTAAAACACTTTTTTTCATTAAAGGGCTTGTACAGAACCATTACCTAAGGTAAGAACTGGCAGTCACTAAGGTAGTTTGCCCTATTCAGTTGTAGTAACTTGCTTATAAACATACTAATGGAGGTAACTCTGCTTTTAACGGTGAAGTTACTGAATCGTCAACCTTCAGCTAATTCTTTTAGATCTACTTTAAATGCAGTGAAATGATCAGCAAGTTGCTATTATAAGTTGCCATATAATAGATATATCCATTAAACCTGTCATCAAACTGATTTATAATCAAAACTAGTGTCAAGTAATATTTCCTAGATTATTATTTTTTTTAACCAAGGACCATTATATTCCAATTGAAGAATATTTTAACATATGTTTTGTGGTTGAAACGTATTGTAGAACCATTTGGAATAATTGAATTAATCAAAATAGAAATGAGGAAGTTATTCATTAACTCGATGAAATCTTAACTAATATCATTTATGGAAACACTGCATAGTCATTATCTGAATAAATAAATAAATAAATAAATAAATAAATAAATAAATAAATAAATAAACAAATAAATAAATAAATAAATAAATAAATAAATAAATAAATAAATAAATAAATAAATAAAGTAGATAATATCTCATAGAATTCAATTAAGCTGGATTTACAGTGTCAAACTAACCAATAACAATAATTCTCTGTAACCTAATCAAGTTATTAGTATTTCTTGTCTTCATTTACTTCTATTCAAAGTTTTATGTTGCATGACTACATTTTTATATCAGGTAATACCAACCAACAATATAAAGCAACTGAAACAGTAAATCAATATCAATGTCGCTCTGATTTAAATGAGACGAAATCTCTGTCAGATTCATATAATTCGCGAAATCAAGGTAGCACAAATATTAACCACAATGTATCAATCTCATCACCGGTGAATCATATAAAATATTTACACAGCAACGGTACATTAGAAAATGAACACACTTCTCAATCCAGTGTATATAATCAGGTGATTTCAACTTTTCTATATTGTGTATGAGCATTCCGATTCTTCATTAGTGTTTTGAATCAATTGAAATTAGTATTCATTTGGCATTGTTTTCTCTTTAATTCATGGGACGATATTCGAGATAGATGGTGACGTCAAAGTTAATTCATTGGATTGTTTTTATTTGTTTTTATATGCAATTCATCAAATGATTCTTTAGCAATATGTTCATGAAAATCCCATAAGTCCAAAGCTACATATACATAACCTTCAGCTTTTACTCTCTCTTCAAGTGATGATGGTTTTTAAGGGAAACTATATTATTTAGCTACAACCAACTTTACAAGATTTTGACGCAATAATTCGGTAATGATCAACTTAACTAAACGTAATTTAGTAGCTCGCAAGACAGCGTTTTTCTCTCAATTCATTCACCGACATGATCTGTCTAGCTATGTTTTGCTAAAACAATGCTATTCTAAAGAAATAATATGAAAAAAGACTTAAATACAGAATATGTTTCTTTTTTATTAAGTGAATACCGGTTTTGGACAAACAAACCCGAGAATGTTGTATACAACTTTTATGTTTATTGAAACTCTTTTCAGTAATAGAAAGGTAATATTAATAAATAGCAATGCCTAAACTTACTCCACTTTTCAATGGCTTTTTTGTCACGTGTAGCCAAAATCCACATCTGTTTCTATAATTAAGGCGAGCACAAACTCCAATCTAACGAACAATAACATATCTGGCGAATTACGTAGACGAGTAACGATACCTACCTCATCTATCAGTTCACAAAAATATAAACATGAATTTTCTTTAAACTCAGAGAGCCTAAATAACACTCAGATTATGAAAACCAGTATGAGTAAGGAAGCAAATAACCCAGTCATCCTTCGGGGAAACAGGAATACAAATTTCGGAAGAAATTCTCAGAACGTAAGTTCATTCCCTTTACTTATATGGACAATTATTTTTAACTACTGTCAATATAATAAGTAGTATAAAATGAAATGTAAAGTATCCAGTGATCCATCTTTGACGTCTAATACTGAGTTTCCTGGTACGTATTTCTCAGTAGTTCTATACACGACATGCTCATAACTGAAATTTATGCTATAAATATATCAATTAAATAAAGACATTACTGATTGCTGTAGGTGCTTGTGTAGATTGTTGGATTTTGTGGACTACATCACGTACTAATCCAATGAGAACCGGGAATTACTAGTAATTTATTTCTTCGTAATACAAGACTGCTCAGCATTGCCTATCTAATGCCCCGTCGGAGATTGAACAAAGGACGTTCAGGTATCACGAAGGGCTTTTAACCACTAGACCGTTAGCCCGGCACCTATTGGTTAGCATCTTTGACTTTAATATATTCGTAGTATCACTCAACCGTCTTTCAATGTCAACGTTAGCTACTAGATACTGGGTCAGTGGTCTTGAATCTAACAGTTCTCAATGTAACCCAAGGGCCCTGGGTTTGATCCTTAGTAGGCCTACGGATGTACACTCCTGAAGGTTTCCATACTAGAATGGTACGGAGGATCAGTAATCACTGGTTTGCAGTAGATGCAGTCTGGAAAATTTATATTACTCTTAAATTATAAAAATGGTTGATCTGTTTCGGAATGTTCTGTTCTGTGTTGTCAAACTTACTGTTTATACTGTTTTACGTTTACAAAAATAGACCACAATTCTTACTTCTAACTGTTACTATGGTGAACTTTTCCCAGTATTAATGGAACGGATCATCTTTGTTATTTTATAACTGATTGAGCTTCGCTGATAAACTGTGTTACTGACTCATAATAACTGTGAGGAGGTAGTTATTTCTGTCCATGAAACAAATAGAAATTATACGGTGAAATAATACAGAGTGGTTAAATTTCCTACGTTACTCAACGTTACGTAAATTTAATTATATATTTAAGGTATTTCAATTGATATTGATAGTTCGTCACTATATGAATAATGATTGGATGACATACATTTAGGATTATTAAAGGTATCAGTAGATTATATTCAAAATACCTGATCATTAATCACATTGAATCATAATGTAACTAAAGCATCGAAATGTCAGCTATTAAATTCCGTGTTCATTATGAAACATCAGCGCATACAAACTGATAATGCAGTATTCTGTTGCGATTTTTTAAAAGTCTACTTCGAAAGCTTGTTTATTACATGATTTAAATTAATCCCACTTTCCTACAAACATCCACCAAGAGTACTGACATAAAAGCTGTGTAAAATAGTCTACACAAAGTTTTTTAGTTGTTAATAAATTTATTTTTTGTGATATCCAAATGGGTCGTTTTCATAGACATGATTGAAGGTAGTTAGCAGGAAATCATAAACCGAAGTTTTGTACCAGTTGGCAATCCTAATCTAGACTTATTCCTGCCCTTCAAAAAGCTGAATATACCAACGGGATTTGAAACTGTATGACAAAATGTTGTAACTAGGGTCTTTACTAACACATTATTTGGGCCCCAAATAAACAGGATTCGACCAGAATGAGACAATACAACATTTGTTAATACAAAGTGTTTAGTCAATGTACACTTGGAAGCGTTACAAAATAACATTGTAAATAAACCCTCATCATAAAACTTATAGACAACAGTAACCATTTTTTGAAAATCTAATAATTTAGCTCTTAATAATTGACATTAAAAATGATGACGGTTAATAACTATTTAAAATCTCAGAAATCTAAATTGCACCCTGAAGTAAGCCACATATATTTCTGTGAACACCGAAATCTAAGAAAGACAATGAATTATAATGATTCATCAGTACCTAAAGAGGGAAAGGTAATTGGCTGATGTCTATAACACTAGTCAATTATACTTCACGTAAACGAAGAATATCTAATATCTAATTGGGGTAAAACAATTCGGTACATAACTTGAATTAGTTTATGTGAACTTTCAATGGCCTATGTCTTGTGTATCATGCATTATTTTATTCTACAAATTAATATATTAACAACTACAAGTATATATATATATATATATATATATATATATATATATATCGAATAGACACAAATGTAACTATTTAATATTCATACGAATTACAATTTGCCTTAATTTCCAAAGGAATAGAATAATTATTTTTATTTACCAACACCGTTATCATAGTCAACAACACTGCCATGTTTTATTCCTAACGAATCAATTAGCTATTAGTGAACGGACGCAAATAAAATAACTACTATTTACCATATGTTGCAAATAGTGTTACATTTTGAACTGTGCTTAAACCAATACTGTTCATTTAATAACCGGTGGTACACATTATTTCCAAACACGCTTACATATACACATATATGTGTGTATTATCAGAGTAGGGAATAGCAGGGAAATATGGATAGTTGTTTGATTTCAGTCAGAATAAGCAATAATAATGGGAAGGTTGTGTTTCAGATTTTAGAAAAAAACAAACTTGCAAACATTTCTGAAGAAATAATTATGCAGCAAGGCAACTAAATAGATGTGATTTTATCTTAAAAACCTAGGCAATTAACTAAACAAATGGAAATAACCTACTATTTATAGATTATATTATTACATGTAGAACAAAGCATTATTTTACGTGTATTGTTTTGGAGCAGGCAGTGAATGTATATAATAGTGAGTGCCAATTAATAGAAAGTCTAAAACCTAAATTTTAAATTAGTTTGTAATCATCAGGGTTTATCTGTAACCTCACAGAAGTTTATAAATAGTTTAAGAACTCAAGTGGATATTATTCAACTTCATCAGTGATATTTGCAACTATCTGAGTAACTTCTGTAAATTATTTTTCACAAAAAAACGTTATGAATAGACATATTTTATAAAACTGTTAGCTGACATTCATTGATTGTTTGTAACCACATAATGATTGTTTAGCTAAAAACCTTCATACTTTCCCTGTATCACTCTTGAAATGAATCTAGACAACACGACATTTATTGATGATTTTGAATTGACCAAATCTGCCTACTACCGAAGTCTCTCAGATCAAGCTTAAATTTTGGTCAACAGACAAAGTGACTAGACATTTAGGCACGCCTTTTTGATGTTTTGTGGTTGAGAGTAGTCAGAAGGAAGTTGTGGACCTAAGTTTTGTTACGTCTGAGACTCAATAACTATCTTGAAGGCGTTCACCACTCTAAACTAAGTGAAGCAGCAGGTCAAATCATTTAATTTATCCATCATACTGCAAACATGATCATTGGAAGTGGATCAATACGTAAAACTAGACAATATAAAGTTGTCTAATATACAACGATCAATTAGGATGAATATCTGAATCTTAGAGAATAAATGATTTCTAATTGCGACACCAAGTAGTGGGGTTTCGAACCAACGGCTATTATCAGTCCCTCAAATGTTTCCGATATTTTTTAGTGACCATCTGTCAGCACAAGACCGTGACTCCTAAACGATAAGTTTTAAACAACTACCATGTATCATATAACTGCTTTAGTTTATCAATATTTGGGAGCTTTTCTGGCGAGGTGTACTATGAAATTTGTTAACAGTTTATTAGCAACTTCAACATGGTTTTGAATAATAACAGAACCACTAGATGTAGTCACCACCTCGTACAGTAATATAATCAGTAATTTCACAATAGCTATGACTAGCATTAATAAAGAAGAGAACAGGATCCTATAGTAATTTACTGAACTTTACGTATAGCATTGAAAAGCCAAAGTTTTATTGATTCTTTAAAAATGAACAGAGTGTTGCCTGATAAATTTTAAAATTACAACAGCTAAGTGAATTAAACAAACGAAAGACTGTTCAGAGAATAGAATTTTCGCTCGATGAAGTTATTTACTGAACCTAAATAATAGTATTTGTAGTTGACTTTGACATATCACAGCCTATATTAAAATATAAGGGTAGAGGTATGCTACTAAAGGTAACCAAACGTTCAAGGATTGAGCTAGTGACCGATTTCTGTTCAACTTAGATAGGTAAGGAGGGTGGAGCTCAGAAATCCATTCAAAAGCTTCACACTTTATGCAGCCAATATAAACTCCTCTACAAAAATATGTGAACTGAATTATACACATTAAGGTAGCTCAAGTTGGCAGCTTATCTATGATCTTTCAGATAAACAATTTAGATCTCTGCTGAATAAAAGTGGTATTAATTCCTTTCGTCGTTAATTATGTGAATGTATGAAGTCGAAAATAAATTATTTAATAAATTGAGCAAACCATTTCCATAATACTGATTACTAAACAACAATCCATTTTACTACATAAATAAACCAATGAGCAATCTAATATCTAGGGTAATTTGGAAGTTCTTGTCAATTTGCAGGTGGATTTTGTATTAATGACCATCATAAATAACAAAAATTCACAGTCAAAACTTTGTCTCTATCGTTTCTAACCTTACTAGTTTCAGATATTGAATGGCACACTATTTTTCAAATTTTTCTATGGATTCGTCCTTTATCGTTTTTCCTAATAGTGTTTCGTACTTCTAAATTCCACTATTTTACTCTCTCTTTTTGAAGTATATTTTTCTATTATAAGCATATTCATACCCCTAATTATGTGATGCATATCCTGTTAATTTTCATTTAATATACTGATGTAGTAAAACAACTTGGGCTTATGCACGTTTGCACCTGTATTATATATGAACGACAAACTAAATGATGTAATTTTTCTCTTAACTTGACATAAGGTGAAAATTCACTAAGAATCAAGAGGCACTGAGAGGTTATTTTAGTCCCTCTTTCGAGACTATGAGAAACACAATCCGGAACCATGATTTATTTTTTCTATGGAGGTCTTATCGTCCAGTCTTCTAGTCTAAACTCGATGTTGACTGACTGAAATAAAATGCTCATTGTTAATTGTCATTATCACTTCTGAAGTGATTATTCTACAAATTTCACACTAGCACTGGAAA